TATAAAATTTAATGATAACCATAAAGCGTAAATTTCGTAATCAGCTTAAGAAATGTTCAGCTCACAGCTTGACAACGTGTGCACTTGATTTGTGTACAAATTCCAGATTTTTCCTCTGAGTGTAGTACTCCTTGTGGCATCCATTAAGCGTTAACGCCAGGCGGTAAATGTATGTCATCATGTGGCCTGGCCACGTTGCCTGTTGGCTGCATTGCGCTCCAAGTGCGCTCATTACATGAGTCTGAGGCTTTGCCAAGTGGCTTTAAATTGCCATTCCGAATGCTTGTCCCCCGCCTGCTACTGCTGCTGTTCCTGCTGCTCATATCCGTATCCATGTGGCTGTCGTCTGCTGCTGATTAACGCTGCTGAACTGTGACCATTTTGCGCTTTTATCGTTTTAATTGTTGCAGCTGCAGTTGCAGTCACAATCGCCGCCCGACAACTGCGTTTCCTGTGTCACAGTTTTGCATCCGTTTCCTGTTTGCTGGCAATGCTGAAGTGGCGCCTGCCCGAGCAGACTGATAGCAATGCAGGTCACAGCACACAAATACAAATACCAGCATACGCTCATCAATTTCATTAAGCATACGCACCGTAAGCTGACCGTAGATGTTGATTGCTTATCGGCATAGACTAGTCCATGTAATTTACTTTGTCTACGCATAGTATAGGCCAATAATATGGAATTTAATGAAAGCTGATGCAGCAGCAACTGTTACAGACCAACAATAAATATTAACAAAAACAAAAGCAACATCAGGCAGGCAGAAGCCGGCTTTTGTGCGAGAGGCGTCTCATTAAATATGGCCACGCCCCTGCAGCTTTAAACACATTAATTAATGGCGAATAATACGCTTATTCAATGTTTAAATTAATATGCATATGCATAAATATATCATTTCTATAAGCGCATATGCAATATGTTAATCGAACTGATACGAATGACAGATTCTCTTGTAGAACGTGGCATGCTTTAATCATATTGAATTGAATATATATTTATATTATATATTGGAATGTTCGCTTTGTTAATGCTGAATATTGAATGAGAAAATGTGACAGATGAGTCCAGACTTTGAACTGATAAGTTTTAATGTGATATGCAAATATTTCCGTATCGAAATGGATACAAAAGTAAACTTTACTATTAAAAGATAATTTTAAAATATAAACATAGCGCTTACAATTCGTTTGGCAAAATTGTGTAGGTTCTGCTTACCAACATTTTTACGGGAATGTATTCGAAGTTATTGCTGGCAAAATATTAATCATTTTCATCGTTAAGGAATGTTTAGAAATTATTTTCTAGACTATTTTATTCAAATTAAATTGACTTATATATTAAAATAGTTTATAAATTAATCTCACGGTTGTCGAGGGCTGGATAGCCTTCCACTCCAGCCGATGCATACGGCTTTCCCCATCCGGCAGCTCAAAGGGCGCTACTTTGGCCTTCTACCTCGAGGGGTTCACGGCGTTTCTACCACTTATAACATTGTTTTTATACAACTTTCACTAAATTACTTTTTCTAATACTACTTTTGTTGAGTCGGATATAGATAGATGAGCTATATGAGCTAGTTGTTCTGATCAAGAATGTATTGATTTTATGATGTGGAAGATACCTTCCACCTGTTACATGGATTTGCATAGAGTATGCGTGAAACTCAATGCTTGAATAGTTAAATCTAGCTGCCGAATTTTGTTTATTGTTTGCCAAGAAATTCTAGTTTCAATGCAAGTTATTAACTTTGTTGCATTAAAATTATGTGAACTTTGAACTTTTTTGCCAAATAAAACTTTTTCAGTCCATTTTGTTGTATTTTTTGCTCAAGAATAACTAATTTCGCGCCAACTTTCGACAGGCTTTGCCATTAAAATACTGAGAATCAGGGAATACTTAATGAAACGTAAAATTTTGAAGAAAATCATTTTAATAAATACAAAATACAATAAACAAAACAGGTTTATTAAACAAAACCTTTCAAATAAAGCCCAATGGAAAATTAAAGGATTTAATTAATTTGCACATTTAGGATAACTGTCCCATTTTTTGAGTCAAGGCAGGTGAGGCTGTTAATCACATTACAGTGTATATTCCTTTTCATTAGGTGTAATCACTTTTCCATGATTTAAAGGATTTACAAGTGGTCAAACCATGAATACTACAGCACTTCTGCTTTCTTCAAATGATAAGCTAATAACCAAGGTGAAATTGGATCTCTCATTTATTAACATTTATAAAAGCAAGCAATCTATTTAAATGCTCGTTAAATGTTTTAAATTTAAAATTAAAGTTTGCAGATAACTTGCGAATGTTTGTAATGCGTTTGGCCACTTGCCATTAAATCTGGCATGGCTTTGGCTTGAGTCCGGCCAAAAGACTCTTAATCAAATGAGATGCAGTGCAGCTCAGGGATTGTCAGGCGCATACACATACATTGATGTGTGTATATAGATCTGCTATTATTGGCTTTTGTGGCAGCTGCTCGATGTGTTTGTAGTTAACTGTTAAACACTCTTGTGGCCATAAAGCCGCACACATTAAATGCGCCGTCGAGTAGTTTGGCTTGTAAATCACATTGCACATACGCAGCGTGGGCCAATAACAAACTTTGTCTGCTGTCTGTTGTGTGTGTGTCTGTGTGTGTGTGCATTAGCTTGAGCTGCATTTTAATACACACAGCGCTAATAATTCACACAATAAGCTCGAAGGCAGGCAGGCAATGCCAGTGCCATTATTCATAGGGCAGCCAAATAAGCCGCAATACAGTATGGGTATGGCAAGGCCAAGGTAGGGTATGGCAACCAGCTGAAACCGAAACATATGTCTGTTCAGGTACTACAATATTGTATAGGGGGATGGCGCCAAAAATATGGCCAGCCTTAGTGCTGTAGAATCCAGCTTGGCATAATCGGGTAAGGCTTTGGAAAGGGTTGGGTAAGGGTATCTGCGGGCTAGTTGCTGTACAAGCAGCTCCAACATGGCAGACAAACAGACAGCCAGGGGCGAGGGAGGAAGGCGACACGTTTATAGCATTTGCCAATGCACAGAGTGCGCTTTTCACTTTTATTGTTGGTGTTGCCGTCGCTGCTGTTACCTGGTTGTTGGCAGAGTGTTTTGTTGCTGTTGGCTAGAGCCGAGACTATATATCTGTCTGGGCTCTGGCTGTCGGCAAACAAGAGCTGCAGCAGCGGCAGCAATCGTGGCAGGCAACAGCTGCAGCAGCATCTTACATTTATGCGCTTTGGTTAACTGTGTTTGCCAGAGTTTTCTGAGTTTGCCTTTTGTTTAAAGTTTTTATGACAGCTTGCTTCGTTTTGAGTGCCGGGTTACAACATGTGTTTTCTGTCCAGCTCACAAGTGTTGTGCACATACACACACCACACACACACACACACTCACACACAACATCCGAAATGTATGTTTTTATTGCAACTTGTTTCTGGCTAAGGGGATTTACCTTGTGTCTGGGCTTTGCCGCCTGCTGTCAAATCAATTAATTATGAGCCATCGCTTTTCATTTGGGCAACCATCAACAAAAAAGCGAGCAACAAACAAAATGCCAATGAAATTTGCGTCTGACAAATTTCGCTCATCTGGTTTGTCGCCACAGCAGGCACCAAAACATATATCTATCTATATTTGTTGTGAAAATACGCATTGGCTGAGCACTCTTGTATTTTTCGATTTTATTGCTCAATGAATAGAGCTGCCGCAACAGCAGTATCAGAGCGTTCAAAAATCTAGCCTGGATTGCATTAATGTGCGGTATTTAAATGCCTTGCGACCACAAAACAAAACACCAAGCAATAGCCGACGCCAGAAAGGGACATTTTGCATTTGCATGAAAAATGAAAAATCACACATACACACATTCAAGCACTAAAATGCTGGACGGGACAAGCATCTAGTTGGCGCGACTAAAATATACCAGCACCTAGTGAATTTTAATGGGACCCGGCTACTGTTACCGTTATTGTTACTGTTCCTGTTACTGTTATTGCTAATTTGCGTGATAATGTTACTGTTTCTGTTACTGTTGCTGTTAAAGTTACCTTTACAGTTACTGTTACGTTTACTGTTACTGTTACGTTATGTTAACCGTTACAGTTATATCTGTTATTTCGGTTCTACAGTAAGCTTTACAGAACATTATACAATTCTGAAATCTCCGTCTTGTTATGTCCCCTTCGTATATTTTTTGCAATTAACAGTAGCAGAATATGTTAAGCCAGAATCAAACATCTTTTGGCTTCGTGCAAGTAACGTTCTAAGCTACTCTCAAATATTGTATCAGTATTAACAGTGCTCTCTTAACAAGAAACTAATACAAATGCACGTTAAGTTACTTGTATCTCTATGCCTATTTTTATTGCTGTCATTTATTATAAACTAACTTTGTCAAGTTTAACTAGTCGACCAAACGTTTACGGCCGCTTAAGCTAGCCATATATACCCTGTTAATGAAATGGCTCGGCAATTGGAGCCCGTTTGGGTCAGAAATTGGAGCCGGGACCAGACCTAAGCAGATACATTTTGTTCACATTGCTGTTGTTGCCGGACGCAGGCCCGAAAACAGGCGACGAGCAACGCACAATTCGAATTGTTTGCCCTTTGTCAGCAGCAACTAAGCCCCAGCTTCATGTGTGTTTCCTGGATTTGTGTGCTTGTGTTTATGTGTGTGTGTATTTGTGTGTGTGCGTGCGGTTCTCTAATGCATGTGCTGTGAAATTTTGTGATTTATGACATTAAATGCACAAAAATGGGATTTTATACGAATTTAATGGGTTTTTAGTGTATTTTAATGTGATCCATTTGCGGAAATTTTCAGATTTTCAAGCATTTGCCAAAAACATTTACAACAAATTCATTTCAAAGCTTCAGCTTTACATTTTTATTTGCAATATGAAATTCCGACAAATTTTGTGATTTAATGCGCGCTATTCAGAATAATAGCCAATTCAAGCTGAACCCTACAATGGGATTAAATGAAGTTTCACAAAAGTTGGCGCTCCACATTGAAGGTAAGGCTTAGGCCACCCACAAACTTATATTGCTTATAGAATCGTAGATTTACCCTCATACCACCGAAGGGTATTATACCCGGCCAGTTATCGCTATTTATCAGCATATTTTTTACGAAGTACGTACCCTGGGATAGAGGACAGTCTCTGCCCGTAAATGGCAGATTTGTGTTCTCGCCCTGTCGCAATGTCGTTTTGCCGTAGTTTTCAAAGAACACTCTCAGCCCCGAACAGATGTCCATACTGGGTACAAAGAATATCATTGGCTTCCATATATGATTTCGCTTGGGATCGTGCTGAAAATCAGCCGACATTTGAAAATGTCTGGCATCCATATCTTCGAGAATGTGCACAGTACCATTAAGTGAGTGCTCTTCACCCATAACTCGGATATCGCGAAAATCAATACATTGCTTCTCGGTGCTGGCCAAAGCCTCAAATTTTATAATTCTTGTAGTGTAGATATAAAACCCCTTTAAAATGTTAATTATAAGTATATTTTTGGCTGTTAGTAACAGGTATTTCTTACCCAGCTCCTTGACAGGTTGGCTCCCAACAGCAGCAGTTGAAGAAAAAGCGTTTCTGCCAACGCCATATTGGGATTTAGTAATTGAATCGTTGGCTCTGGCATATTTATATAGCAGTTTAGAATTTACACGCTGAATAATTCCAATTTGTTATTAATTACACACACTAAATGCTGGTAGATTATATCTTCTTAAAATGTATTAAATGTTATATAAGCTCTTCTGGTATTTTTGTAATTAGTGCTCGCCGTGCTTCATGTGAACTCAACGTACAATTAAAATGTTCTAAAAGTAATAACATTTCATGGCTCTGTTATGTGGCTCTTAGCTAATGAAAACTACAAATAACAGAATGTGTAGTATGTAGTCTCCCAATATTTTTTGAAACATTTCTGTATAGACACTCAAGAGTATATAAGTTGATTTAAACAATTTGCATGCTGTATTTAAATAATCCTTAAAAGTGTAAAATATCGAGAGAAGACAATTTCTGACTTATCGTAGTCCATGATAAGTTTACTCTTAACAGCATTAGCTGAAAAAGTAACACAGCAGGCGACATCTTGTTGGGTTTTGAATATTGAATCGTGAGGTTTGGCATTTTTATATTGCAACTATTTAAATGTTTGAATATTTTTCATATCGAATCGCATCATTTAAATGCTTAATGTGTGCAATTTTGTATTTGTACGCCAAATAATTGCAATTTATAACTAATTACTAATACTAAATGCTGGCAGCTTATCTCTTATTTAAATGTTTCAATTTCTGTTTTTGTGACGTTCAACTTCTAATTAATGAAAATTACAAATGTTATTCGAATCGACACATCTGCAAGCAATGATTGTCTTTCTATATCAAATTACATATTCTACAAATAATAAGAGTCGAACGGTTGGCAGTATGTATTAAACATTCTGTTATGTATCATTCCCGTATGGATAAACAGGATAACTCTATAGAAAAGTTGGCGTTCTAGTTGGTCTTACAGAAAGATTCTCAGAATCTGTTATAGCCGCATATTAAACTTTATTTTATTTTAAAACTTTGAATTATTTTTGATAGGTAATATAACCTATTTTGCTCAAGAGTGCATATTAAGTGGGGTAATAAAGGGTTTTATAGATAGAGTTACCTAACTCGCCCCTCCATAATAGTTTTACAGCTGGCACCACCTATAGACTTGACATTCTTATAGAATCGTAAATTGAGCTCCAGACCGCCAAAATTGAATAAATCCGGCCAGGTATCGGTGTTTAGCAACATATTCTTTATATAGTATGTGCCCTTCGGCAATGGACAGCTCTTTCCGTCAAATGGTAAGTTTGTATTTTCGTCCATTCGGAAAGTCGATTTGGCAAATGTTCCTATGAACAATTCCATTGCTCTACAAATGTTCATGATGGGTACATGGCTAAGCGCAGGTTGCCACCGACCATTTTTGTTTGGATCATAGCGAAAATCTAAAGAAAACTGAAAATTTTCCCCATCCATATCTTCGAGTATGTAGACTGTTCCATTTAGTGCTCGATGGCGACCCACAAGACGAACATTGCCAAAGTCAATAAGTAGTTCCTCTTCGGCTTCCAAAGCGTCAAATTCCAACATTTCTACAGTATACTTGGCTAAGCCCTTAAATGGTAATTATTTCAGATAGATGTATTGCTTAGGTAGAATAATTTCTATGCTTACGGTACTGCATAATAAGTTGGTTTTAAAAAGGATCAACTGGAGAATTAACGTAGCTGACAGGTTCATGTTGTTTTCTGTTAATTGAATAGCTCGGGCCGACTTAATTAATATAGCTCTGAAATAAAAGGTTTCATGTTTCATATATCTGATCACGTTTTTAATTGGATAAGCCTTGCATTCTAATACAAAATAATTGCCTTTGACCACGAATTAAGCAAATCAGTTAAATTATCGAACTTATCAGATTGTATAAAGTACTATCAAACACTCAAGTGCTGATCTTCCTTTTGACCAACTATTTTTTGGAACTTTATAAGCTGTAAAATGTCATGGATTTGTTAAAATGTTCTTAGCTCAATTATGTGAAGAGCAATTAACATAATAACACTATGTTAATGTCTTTTGCTATAATGTTAGCTCTAAAAGTTAGTTTTTCTTTCTCAAATGCATTATGTGTGATTTTCATAAGTGTTAATAATGCAGAATAGGTTTATTTGAAAATCTTTTATCGTAGATTTACATTAGTTTTCGCTCAACTATAGTTCGACAGCTGGCACCACCTACAGGCTTGCCATGCTTATAAAATCGATAATTGAGCTCTATCCCACCAGTTGGTATTATGTCCGGCCAGGTTTCTGTGTCCATCAACAGACTCCTAACATAGTATGTGCCTTTGGGCAATGGACAGCTCTTACCATCAAATGGTAAGTTTGTTATCTCGCCCTGACGCAATGTCGACTTAGCATACGTTCCAATATACAATTTCATTGCCCTACAAATATCCATTATGGGTACATTGTAAAGAATAGGTCGCCAGCGGCCATTGTTGCTTGGATCATTACGAAAATCGACTGACAATTGAAAATTTTCCCCATCCATATCTTCGAGTATGTGGACTGTTCCATTTAGAGAGCGTTCGCGGCCCACAACCTGAAGATTACGAAAATCAACAAGTAGTTCCTCTTCGGGTTCCAAAGAATCAAATTGCACAATTTGCACATTGTATTTGTATCGCTTAAATAGTAACAATTATTGAAGTATTTATAGTCTTTGTCTTAAATTTCTTAACTTACCCAACTCCATGATAAATTGGCCCTCAACAGAATTAACTGTAAGGTAATCGTCACCGACAAGTTCATGTTTCTTTCTGTTAATTGAATGGTTGGGACGGATGAATTTATATGGTTCTTAACTGAAAGGTTTTCATGTTTTGTACATCTGATCGTATTATTTAATCTTTGCAACATTGTAGTCAAACACAAATAAATGTTTATTGCCACTAATTACCAATTCAATCCAATAATGAGAATATAATCAGCTCATGAAATTACTAGCATGTGCAGAAAATTGCCGAACAATCTTGTGTTAATCACGATGCCGGATTCATTTTTTCGAACAATATTTCACCACCAAGTGCCACAAATAAAACAAATCCCTTTTTATACCCTGAACCCATTAAAAATGGGTATAAGGGTATATTGTATTTGTGCAAAATCCAAATGTATGTAACAGGCAGAAGGAAGCATCTCCGACCCCATAAAGTATACATATATATTCTTGATCAGCACCAATAGCCGAGTCGATCTAGCCATGTCCGTCTGTCTGTCCGTCCGTCCGTCCGTCCGTCCGTATGTATGAACGCAAGGATCTCAGAAACTATAAGAGCTAGAGACTTGAAACTTGATGTAGGTGCTCCTAGTACCTGCGCAGATCGAGTTTGTTTCCGATAATCGATAACTTACTCCGTTTCCAAGCAATCGATATGTCGATATATCGATATCCTGTTTTTTGGGCAATTTTGGTAAATAATAAGCGCTAGAGTCACCAAACTTAACATATAGCTTCTAAAATAGAATATATATATGCATTTGATGTTAGAAGAAGAGGGTTCAGGGTATCCCCTAGTCGGGAGCTCCCGACTAGAACCTCTTACTTGTTTTAATATACAAAATTTGTAAGCTTTGGCTTGCCCCCAATAATGTAAAAAGTAATTATCATTAACTTTTTACATCAAATTCTAATTATTGCCAAATGAATGTTAACTTTCTGTTAGCAGAAACATTTCCTTGCTATGTTATTAAAGGAGCGCGTATGTTATGTTGCTTAACAGTAGCTGTGTATGTTAATTTGAGTCAAAATAGTCAAGTTGTGTTTCTTGATTATATTATTATGTCAAAAGCATATACTTTATATAAATATATTATTTTTAAAATATAGTTTATGTAATATTATTTTAGTTTGTTAATTAAAATTCTATATCGACAAATAAATTATTTAGTTTACATTAATGGTAATAAAACAAATTCGCTGTAAAGATTGAATCCTTTAGCAGCGGGCAAAGCTAACCATCGAATGCACATTCGTATTCAAGCCCAGCTGCATAGTCGATTCGCGCTAGCTGCCAACAAAGAATCTCATTGCATAACAGGTGCCCATAACTGGCATAGCGAATATCATTGGCTTCCATTGCCCATTATTGTTCGGTTCGGTGACATTTGGCACGTTTACGTATCCATATCCTCGAGTGTGTGTTCGGCGCCTTTAAGTGCGCGTTCATGTCCAATAATGCGAGTGTCGCAAAAATCAATAACCAATTTTGTTTCAACTTGCAGAATGCGCAGTGAATCCCTATTCAAAAATATGCTCTTCAAGAGCTGTTGGTTATTTTAAGAGCCATTTTTCTTGCCTTAACCAACCTTTAGATGAGTTGCCTCTAAGCAGCCGACCACATCTTGCCTGACTCTGGCATATTAATAAATAATAATTAAATTGCCATCATTGCCTTTGCCAAGCCTAATCGCATCATTTAAATGCTTAATTTGTGCAATTTTAAATGCACAAAACGTACTAATTACAATTTGCTTTAAGCCTAAATGTTGTTATTAGCTTATCGTTACCGATATTAATATGTAATGAATGCGAATCATTAAATCATGCAAGTCATGTACAGTTTAGGGCAACGTATACGTAATATAACGTATACGCCAGAGCACACAACAGCCATATGCACTACCAATTTATGGCTTCAATAAACATAAAGTTCATAAACTCCCAAGGCGTCGTTGCTCATCATTTGCAGCGGATTGTCAGGGGTAACAGCAGCAGCAGCGATGCTGCTCGGTCAAATAAATAATGAAAAAGAAAAGTGATGTCATAAAAATTTTATCTCTTAACTGGAATTGAGCAGCATGAACAAGCAGCAACAGCAGCAGCAGCAACTGAGCCTGCAACAGCAACAATACTGCACACACACACACACACATAGAAATATGATGCTTGGTCATTTTCATATAAAAATTGACAATGGCGTTGGCCCTTTTACCTCGCTATGTCTGTGTGTATGTGTGTGTGTGTGTGTGTGTGTGTTTGTGCTCGCAAGCAAGCAAGTGGAAAATGCGACAAAAGTGAGGCAGACACGGCGCGATAAAAGAACGAGTTCGACTACAAAATGCACACGGCATGAGCTTTGCCAGCCAGAGTCGTATAAAAGCAACAACAACTGTGAACAACAACAACAACAACAGCTCTAAGAACAACAACAACTTCTTTCAGTTGCATACAAAGCTGAAAAGGCATCTAAGCTGCGATTGAACATGTTTTTTTTTTGTTCTTGTTTTCATACCTCTGTTCTATACAAAAATCTGCAATATGCAGCTGTATAGCAAAATACTATAAAATGCTCAAGCGCATCTTCACATATAGGAATTATATAAAATTCTCAACTGAGCTGAGTTCAAGCTCACTTCAAGCTCAACTCCAAAACTAAACTCTTTCAATATGGAATAGGTGAGACGGCGGATGCTGAACATTAAATACCCTCATATATTTGATTTATTTAGATAACTTCTTTTAACTTTATATAAATTCAGGTATGATGTAAGATCTTTTGAAAAGCTATTCATATACTTTATACATAACTTTATACTAAACATATACATCTACCATGAATAAGTAATTTTATAATAGGCATTAAAATCAATTAAAGCCACAATAAAATTGAGCTCAAGAATGCGACCTGAGACATTTTCCGATAAGCTTTTCAGACATAGGTTATTCGATTCGATGGATGTATAGAAGATATATATTTAAATATTTAATTTACTCTCTCTATCTCACGAATAGTCAAGCGAATCCTGAAAAGCATTTATAACATTTCTGGCTAACTTTCTTTTGGGGTATACAAAGCAGTTTTCAGTGTTTTTCATAGGGCGCTTTTGTCAGCTTTATGCACAATTTGGTTTGCAATTGTTTGGATAATATATCGTGCTTTTTTCAGCTTGCAGACTGTGAAACTAAAAACTGCAAAACTGTTTTTCCTATCAAAACAAAATTCGAGACGAGCAAGTTGAATTGCATAAGATGAGCCCAAACATAAAATGGTCAAAATGTTGCTGAATTTCAATTTAAATTGCAATAAAAGAGAATAAAAGTTGATTAAAGGGCCACGCCCCGTGCATTGCAACTTTCGCTTTTGACTTTCACCTGAGCAACAGGAAAATAATAAAAAGAAAACAATAAAAATAAAGAGCTAGAGGAAAACTCAGTTGCAAGTGTGTAAGAAAATGCGTAAGCCTAAACTCATTTCCCAATTTGTTGGCATGAAATGCTTTTAATGTGAAAACTTTGCCCGCCCCCAACAACAGATGGCGCTGGCACGTGGCAGGCGGCTGTCCGGGCACTGTAACCAGGTTGCGCTTGCCTCATTCTATCCTTTCCCATTACCCCGAATCCCCCCGCCTCCCCCCCTCGCACGATGATTAAGTTGCAAAACTTGGGCAAATTTTTGGCAAACAACGCGCACCGAGCCCCAAAAACAAGCAAAGTTCAAGTTGTGTAGGGCAAATGCAATCAAATGTAAGTACAACAACTGCAACAAGGTTTAAACTGGAATTTTGAGAATGTCGGGGAGAGGGTCGTTTGGGTGAAGGAGGCGTGGCAGGAGCTGTGCCGTGTAGTTAGCTGTGTTGCTGGGGCAAACAAAATATTGAATATGATTTGCAAACACATGTGCCTCCCCCAGCTCCAGTCGCTGTTTGGGCTCCATCTCCAATCACTAACACATGGCTGCGCCTGGCTGTTGCGGGGTCTGAGCCAATGTAACAGGCATGTGTTTATCTACCCTGCCAGAGGGTACTGTATTTGTAACATGAAGTGTGTTACAGGAAGAAGAAGATGTCTCTAAACTCATTGTGATCGAGGTTCCTTTAATATATCTGTCTTATTTTGCAAACTAAGTTCTTGTTTTTTTTTGTTTTGAAATATCAAGTTATCCTTATACAAGTTGTCTTTCAAATATCTGCATAGTTGTATCAAATCGGACTACTATAACATGTGGCTTAAATATAACAAATTTGTTGTAAAAGTCCACATGTGTGCAAGAGCATCAAATCATCGGGTTACCGAAGCTAGCCTTTCCTTCTTGTGTTTTTTCTTCTCTCTTCTCTGGGCTTTATAGCTACGTGACTTGATGTCTCCATCTGCGAGTCTGTCAAGCCGTAAATAGAAAATGAAAAGCGAAAACAAGCAAATCGAAAGGCAGCTCGTGGCAAGTCCTTAAATCGCATTCAGTGTGTGGGTGCGCCCCCCAAAAGCAGGCTATGCAAATATGTGCCTGGTGTCGCCCTTTTACGCATTTTCACTTTACTCTTACACAAAGATATATGTATATATTTGTGAATATATATATATGTGGCATGCCTCCCATATTTACATAAAAATGCACTCTATCTGCCTGTGACCGCATGTGTGTCAATATAAATATATGTATTTACTTTGGCACACATAGATACACCTATGCTACTTATTTGCACATTTGGCATCACAATGCCTCTGCAACCCTCTTCACCCCTCTCTACTTCACACTTGTCTTGTCGTTCTTCATGTCTAACATGGTAAGCATCTAATCGGCTTTGGCTTTGACGTTGACTTTAATTTTCGCCCTCTTTTGTTTGCCGTTTGCCATAAATTTCGGGATTTTAGCCTAATGCACTGTGCGTCAGATATGCCAAATCAAATACCCTTTCTCCCGCTGGCTCGTTCACTTTCAATTAGCTGTGCTGCTGCAGCTGCCACTGCTTGGCATTTACATTAACCTGACCCGAAGCGCTTTCTCCACCAGCTAAGCCACCCTTCGGCCCGA